GCCATTTTGGGCGGTATGGCCATATGAGACTATGGTATTACCTAAGAGACATGTAAAAAGGATGAACGAAATTACAGAACACGAAAAAACAACTTTGGCATCAGCAATGAAAATWTTGACAATAAAATATGATAACATGTTCAAAACATCATTTCCATATTCAATGGGTTGGCATGGCAAGTTTAATATATAATTATATAATACAAATACTAACTGTATTACTTATGTAWTGTAAGGTGCACCAACTGGACAAAACTGTGAAAATAACCACCATTGGGTATTCCACGGGATTTATTTGCCTCCATTGTTACGTTCAGCAACAGTGAAAAAATTCATTTCCGGGTAATTAATATTGATACATGATATATCTTTTTTAATCGAGGTTTAGACTAAGTATTTAACTATATCAAGAGAAGGCTACTTAATTTTAAAGAGATTTATTGATGATTAATACATTATTCTCGTGTTTATATATATGTTTAGRTTTGAGTTGTTGGCCCAATGYCAAAGAGATTTAACTGCAGAACAAGCTGCAGAACGATTAAGATCACAATCAGATGTTCACTATTTACAGTAAAACTAAATAAACATATTTAGTCYATACATAAAATCCAGARACCTATTTTACTATAAAAATAATTGTCATATGATTACAATGTTATAGTAGTTACATTACATAGTTTATCAACAATATATTTTTTTCAATATATTGGAAAGTCTTTATCTACTTGCATACTCCATTCATATAATCCTCCTATGACATCTTTTATCCAATTGACTTTGTCTGTTATCTCAGTGTATTTCTTTAATTCATCTACAGCTCTTTGAGAGTCATTGCCTCGACGACAAATAGTTATTACTGCAAAAATTAAATGTATTATAAGAAATACAGAAATGTTTTTTTGTCTACATGTGTATTGTGTATCAAACAAAATTATTAATGTTAATTTTACTTACAATTTGGAGTYATATTACTAAATGAATTAATTTTTTTAATTAACTTAGAACGAGCATCATCACGTTTTAAATCACTTAGTTGAATATTAATGGAAAAAGGTAAATGGCACATGTCATATTCTACTTTTTTGCGTACATCTATCATTAAAAATGGATTTTTTGTAGATACTAATTCACTTAAATCTAAAACGGTTATACGTTCATTTTCTTTCAACAAATTAAGCGTTTTGAACTAAAAAAAAAAATATTAATCAATTAATATTTTAAGAACATTTGGTATGTTGTATGCATATTAAATTTACTTTATCATTAGCTTTTGATCCACAAAATTCTTCATAGTCCATGGTTATTGTTATATCATCAGGATTTCTTGTGCATATACATTCATTTCGTTTTATATTTGTTAATTTAATTTTTTTAAACTCACAATCTCCACCATCATATAACAGTAAACTGTTGTGTAATACATTTGGATGATCAACAATAATTTTGATAGTTTCCATTGCTTGTAAAACACCAATAACCCCAGGAACTAAATAATCAACAAGAGTGCAAATAAATATTTTATGCTTATACATAATATTATATACACAGTAAAACTACCTCATAACAAAATCGCTAAATATCAATTGATTTTTTGGTTATAAAGGAGTCTGGAGTTTCCATCATAGGAAGACTAAAATACGTCAGATATAGGTTTTATAGGGTGTTTGTTATCAGATTATATTACTGTACATACAAAGACTGTAATGATATATTGTTACCTGGTCCCAAAACACCGGCTGAAGCACAATTTCCTACAGTTTCAGGGGATTGTGGTTTTGGATGTAAACATCTAAAGCATACAGATCCTTTGTAATTATAAACGGTCAGTTGCCCATCACAATGTATAGCTGATCCTGAGACTAAAGGCTTACCAGCTTTTACACAAGTATCATTAATTATATATCGAGTAACTAAATTATCACTAGCATCTATAATTACATCATATTGTTTAAAAATGTCCAATGAATTATGACCATCCAATTGAACATCGTGAACAACAATGTTAACATCCTCATTCATACTGAAAATTAAGTTATTCAAAAAATAAAAACAATAATATAAATGTTTTATTGCATTTTTTTTTTAAGTAGATGATAAATTAAATTAAATACAAACCGATTTAATGATAATTTACCAGACTCAACTTTTCGCATACCAACATTGCACTGTGCATGCAACAACTGTCTATGCAAATTACTAAGTTCCACTTCATCRTAGTCAACTAGTCCAATCGTACCTACTCCGGCACTTGCTAAATACATTGATGATGGACATCCTAGGCCACCAACGCCAATTATAAGAACACGTGCAGTTTTCAATTTTTTTTGTCCTAATTAAATATTAATAGTTTTAGAAATCATATAACTATGAAGTAAATAAATAAAATACTTCACCTTCAACACCAACTTCTGGTAAAATGATCTGTCTGCTATAACGGTTAATATCAAGTTTAGTCAAGCATTGTTTCTAAAATATCAACAAAAATCATAAAATAAATATGTAATAATTATT